TCGCCTACCAAAGGCGCTCGGCGGCGGGGCGCCAGTCGAGAGGCTTAGCATGGGCGCAAGCCGGCGGTCTCCCACTGCGGGTCTTCGCGCCGCCTCACGTTAGCCAAGGAGCTTGGCCACATCAATAAGCTTCGACGCAGCGAGCACTCGGGGAGTGTTCATCGGCTACGCGGAGGGCTCGAGGCCTACAAAGATCCTCGACCCGAAGACACGGCGTGTCGCGCACGACGCAGCACGCGGCGTTGTGTTCGACGAAGAAGCGAGGATGGGCGTGGACAAGGCGGTGGGCGATGGCTCGGCTCCGACGTCTGACGACTTCACCGTGTCGAAAGTACGTCCACTTCGAGGGAGCTGGGGAGTAGGCGGCTTCTTCTTGGCGAAAGCGTCTACCCCAATCCCCGAGCCCCGACCGGCGGCGCTATAACACCACGCTCTCCGGCCAGACCTCGGCTGCGATGAGTTCTTCATTGCTCCACCACGGTAAACAACGCCATGCACTCCAAAGATCGACAGCACCTCTCCGGCACACGTCTACTCCAGCTAAATGTGTCGAGCACGGCCGGTTGAGCTCGCTTCTCCGCTCTCTCACGACGAAAGCGCGCCGCCAGCGTACCACGACGGCGAGCCATTGCGGTACCGTCGATGGAGAACCTTCTCGGTGACCAAATGGCCGGTGCGGGACCGGTGCCTCACGACACGAGGCGCGCTTGCACCTTGCGTGTGACGACGGCGGCGAGCCTCGGTCGTATGCAGAGGCCGAGACACGGCATGGCGCGTCGCGATGCGATTGGAGATGGATGCGGTCGAGAAGAACCGCACTGGGAGCTTGGCGACCTTCCTCGTGGTCACCGCGCGATCACCCTTAAGTGGGTGTTCAAGCTAAAGAGGATGAAACCGGTGCCATCGTCAAGCACAAGGCTCGCTTGGTGGCACGAGGTTTCGTCAAGCAGCGAGAGGGTCGACTTCGACGACGCTTTGCTCCGTGTACACGGATGGAGTCCGTCGACTCCTCCTTGCGCTTAGCTGCCCGTGGAGGGCTGGCGTGTTCATCACATGGACGTCAAGTCGGCGTTCCTTAACGGCGACTTGAAGGAGGAGGTCTCGATGCACCACCGCCGGGATTTGCGATCCCCGGCAAGGAGGGCAGGTGCTCGCGTCTGCGCAAAGGCCTCTATGGCTTGCGCGGCGAGTACCGAGGGCGTGGAATGCCAAGTTGGATTCCACGCTAAAGGGGATGGGCTTGAGCAAAGCCGCAGACGAGGCGACCATCTACCGACGGGCGGTGGAGGAACCGCTCTGGTGGTGGGTGTCTCGTCGACGACTTGGTGATCACCGGCACCAAGGATGCGGAGGTGGCGGCATTCAAGGAAGAGATGAAGGCCACCTTCCGGATGAGTGACCGGGGCCTCTCTCCTTCTACCGGGCATCGAGGTGCACCAATGACTCGGGATCACACTTGACGGACCGCCCTCGCCAAGCGCTCGTCGTTGAGCTAGCCGGGCTCACCGATCGCAACCCGCTCTCACTCCGATGGAGGAGAGGTGAAGCCGAGAGCCGCGACAAAGACGACGGAGGAGGTGGACGCCACGCAGCATCGGGCGTCTTGTGGGGAGCCTTCGCTACCTCGCCCACACACGGCGGACTTGGCATTCTCCGTCGGCTCGTTAGTCGGTTCATGCAAATGACCGACGACGGAGCACCAAAGAGTCTGTGAAGAGAGATCATCCGCTATGTTGCGGGGACTCTCGACCACGGCCTCTACTACCCGAGGTGCCACAGGGCGGCACACACTTCGTCGGATCTGACGACAACGACCACGCCGGGCGACATCGACACCAAAGAAGAGCACGAAGGGATCCTCTTCTTCCTCGGCAAGTGCCTCGTTAGGCTGGCGATCGGTCAAGCAGCAGGTGGTGGCCTGTGTCACCGCGAGGCCGAGTACATAACGGCCTCCACCGCTTCGACTCAGGCGCTCTCTGGCTCGCTCGATCGCTTGGTGATCTCCTCGGCGAGAGACACTAGGCCGGTGGAGCCTGTCGGGGTGGGCAACAAGTCCGCTCGACCACAACAAAAGAACCCCGTGTTCCACTGAACGCAGCAAGCACATCCGGGTGAGGTACCACTTCATCCGAGGTTGCTTGGAGGAAGGGAGCATCAAGGCGAGCTACATCAACACCAAGGACCGACTTGCAGGACCTGCTCACCAAGCCCCTTAGGAGGATCAAGTTCCTTGAGCTCTGCTCCAGGACCGGGATGGTTCAACTCTCCCACAAGACGACGCACAAGACTTAGGAGGAGAATGACGGATAAGTCTCATGTGTGGTCTTTGTGGGGCTGTACTGCTCACATGGTCCTTGTGGCTGTTTTTTCTGTTTTTAGGACAGCATCTTAGCATAGAGGCCAGCAGGACAGCATCTTAGACTAGAGGACAGACAGCATCTTAGCTAGGACAGCATATTAGCATCTTAGACTAGCATCTTGGCATATGCTTGGCTGGCTAGCAGCCTATAAATATGTAACCCCAACCCCTCAGGTTGGTATGGCATTTGTGTGAGAAATAGACAAGAAAATTGCCCCAACTCCTAGTGTCATCCTCTCGATGAGAGTAAGAATTCTCCTACTACCAAGAGTGAGAATTCAGCGACTAACAGGGAAAAGGGGTCTATAGGTAACTTAAAATGGCCATGCACTAGCACAATTATTTTTGGTTCAAGTGATGAAGAAATAGCCATGCACTGATGCACAATACTGTCATTCTATATTCAGCGTAGACTAGACCTAGACATTAAAATTCCATCCATCGCTGCTAGGTACAATTCGACGCTCTAGCTTAACCAGTCACCTTTACTAAAATTATTCATCAGTTCACTGGACTACGCAGATCGCAAGTAATCTTTTAGAAACAGAATTCAACCTTTTGGGATCTATCTTGTCAAATCACCACTGACCAAGGGGGTCAACTTTTATATACACGTCAGGACGTACCTTATCCAAGATCAAACAAGCAATGGTGCCAACAAAAATGTTATGGCAGTTTGCACTCATTGAGGAAACAATGATTAAGGGACCAGTAAAACAGTAGGGTGGCTGAGGTATTGAAGCTAAAAGATGATATGAAAAATCATGCAGATAATGACTTCTATGTTTTTTTTCTTTTTTTCCCGAGAACGTGCCTACGAATGTGTTTCATTAAGAGGAAAACAAATCCACCACACAGCTTGCACTGCCATGAGCTAGCTCAAGGTCAAGGAGCTGACACTTACAAGTTTAGGTTATATTACAAATTTACCTTATAATTCACGAACTTTACTCTTGAGCACCAGTGTCCAGTCTTTGCTCTTTCCTTCAGCATGCTTTTCTTGCCACCTTGTCATCAAATCCAAGTCATACCCAGACCAATTGGTTATTGTATCTTCTTGTCTGTACTTGGTGTTACCACTCACTGAATTTAACTTGGGATCTATTTAGTTTCCTTAACAAGATGCCATTGTTTTTTCATTGGATCCTGGACAAGGTATATACAAGAATTCAAAGTTTATAATGAAGATGAACATAATTTAGTTTACAATTATCTTTAAGTTTTTTGATTCCTGATAAAATATTTTGCAGGTAACAGAAAGATCCATGTTAACTTATAAAAATTAATATTAACATAAAATATAACACTCCTTGAAGTTAAACCAATGAAACCGATGGAAGTGTTATCAAGTCATCCAATTGATCGTGATTAGTCATTAGCCATCCTAGTCGGTATCCTAGACTCAACTAGGGGCTACGACTCGATTAGGCAGATTAGTTTTCTGGCCGTCCAATTAGTTGTCGACTGAATCCAGATGACTAGGGGGTGGACGACCCGAAACAGCATGGAATTGTTGGGCAGGTGAGGGCATGGGCTGCATGCTGCATCTAAGATGGCTTAGGCCACTTGGGCTCATGTTTTTCAGCCCAATTTGCAATCCTAAATGCAGACACCATCCTAGAGTTATCTTCATGCTTGATTTGTACTCTAGAACATATAGTATATTAGTATATATTTGGTATATTAGTCCTGATATAACGACTAGGGGATGACCAGAGCCAGGTCGACGATTAACCGCAACTAGCCGCTTGGTCGGTCTCATGGCGACTAGGATTGACTAGACGACTTGATAACACTTTATTCAATGTGTACCTTGAGCTGCCTTGAGTTTTTGACACACATAGTAGTGCAATGTTGTATCTTGGATGGTAAGTTATTTATCTGAGAAAGTTTACTACTCTTATTTTCTTCCAGATTTAAGCTTCTACCTCAAACAAGTTGGGAGCATGGCATATCATTAGAGTGGGGTGTTATATGTCGACAATGAGTATATGCTAAGGCCTAAGGCTAAGATTCAGAGTTACATTAGAAGACAGCATGTAACAATGGACAACTCAACTTGATCAGAAATGAACCTTTCGCTGGCAATCTTCGCATAGAAAAAGGCCTCCACAACCCCATAAAAAAGGAGCCTTTGCTAGTGTTTTCTCTCTTTTACTCAACTCATAAGTCATGATATTATGGAGTTTTCAAATTGAATGCCGTATCCTTGTAAAGGTTATAGACGAGTAAACTTTTTTTCCACAAACACATTATGTTTTTTTTGGTAGCTAAAAGCTTTTAGTTCTAGATAATCCACGCATAATCTAGAAGATAATTAAGGATTTGATAAAATGTTTATAGAACAAGCAACTGAGTAAAGTAGTAATTTAACCCAGATAACTCCAACCGCTTGCACCCTCTACAAATTCTCTATATCATTAGTTGACATGAGATACCAAGAGGTACAATACAGGTACCTCCTATTTTATGAGAAGGTAATGATGTTAATTAGCGACAATTAATGGCAGGAAGAACCAATACATCTCGGAATTTCTAGAGGATTGTAATAACACTTGAAGTACGTAGCTTACCTTGCAGGAGCCATGAAGATTTCGGTGGTTTTGAAGCAGAAATGGCCATTTCTCGAACCCATGGTGATTTACTTGGGTTGCACCAAATAAGATGCCCAAACCTCATCAGCTGGAGGGGGTGGTTGAACCAAGTGCCCAGGTATACGGCTGCAGGCAGGTGGAACATTTACTATCAGGGAAACTATTATATGAGATTCGCTTAACACACCACAGCACTGATCCATTTTGTCACCCTAGTACATTAGTATATGCTATTATATAGGAATAGAATATATTCGAGCAAAAACAATGAATGGTCATGCTAAATTATATTTTTTCCAGCAGCAATAAGATAAAAGCTATAATAAGTGTATCTGACTTGAAAGTTGAAAACACAACAATGCATCAACATCGATGCAATTGAACACCTAGAAGACGGGTTAGATCTGTGTTTTTACTTCAAGATGAAGAATAATATATTATGCCTGTTTGGAGCAAAACATAGTTCTTTCACAGGAATAGGCAAAACTCCTTTGGAGTCCATTCTGTTTCCTCCAAATTGGAATAACTCCATTCCAAACAGCATGCATTGACCAACAAAGATGCACCTTTTTCAAGTGTGATTCCTAACCTAGAGTCTAGACCATAATAATGGTCAATAGATGCTATTTCACAATAAACTCCTCACGAGGTTAACCTTCCTTTCATCTTGTTACGGTTAACTAAACAAGCTCACAAACCATAATTGCACAGAAACTTGAAAATACTTACAGAAATGCTTGCTTAATGCATCTAAGCTAACTTGGAAGAAATTGTACGAACAAGTAGAAGTCTTACCTTCCTCCAGGTCTGATGAACGAATCCCACATTCTACGGACCTACAACAGAGACAATATAAAGACAAGTTGATTGAGTAGGTATATTGAGTAATTGCCCATGCCATGAAGTGAAAAGTATCAAGTTATTTGTTAGGTTACGAAGCCTAGTTTGTATTTCTCTGATTTACACTGCCTTATATACGATTCATAATAAATAAGAAAAGGCTTGCCCAAAGTTTTGAAGTTAGCATAATTACCTCAATGAGTGTCCCCATGTCATAGCTACTTCCATGATAATAATGGTAGAACTCAAAAGGCAGACTGCTTACAGGGTCATGATGTTCATGCCCTTTTCCCTCAAATCTATGGCCTTCATCTTCATGCTCAGTTTTCTGGCTTGCCTGGTCATTTCTCTCATTTATCCCGCCATCTCCCAGGTCCTTGTCTTCAGATGGTCCACTAGGTTGTTCAGAACCACCTTCTTGAGAATTGGCATTCTGTGGAGGCTTCCTTGATTCCTCAGCAGTCAGAATAGCATCCTTAACAGCATCAGTTCGAGCAGCAGATGCAGCTTGGCGCTCCTCTTCCTCGACTGCAGCCTTAACACGCTCGAGGTATTTATCATCCTCTTCAGGAAGAAAATGACCTAAAACATTTAACATAAAAAGAAACTCATATATCCATCTCTTGTATTTACACTGAACAAAATAAAAAAGGGAAAATCAACACCACCAACGGAAAAAGAAAAGTTTGCAGTCTTGCAGAGACAGGAGCCCTCTGTGATTCCAAAAAGTTTGTGCTAGTGGAATCATACACAGGTAGGAGCAGATTTGTATTGCCAAATGGATATGACATCCTCTTCTCTTAAAAGAGAAAAGGATCATTACAGGCATATGTGCTTCAGCGGTTCAGCCTTCAGCATGCAAAATGCCAGAATATGAATAACATAGTATTTAAGGTCAGAAAAACACAATGATAACCCATCTCTTCACTTTAGTAAAAGTCCATCATGGGAATTGTTGTTTCACTGTGTAAGTCAACTAGGAAAATAAAGTCTAGTCAGTAGGCACCATAATTTTTCCCGCCACTGCCCATGCTTTCAAGGCACAATAATAACATGAATGATTAAGTACTAATATATTTATTAACTAAATACAAAATAATCCAATTATTAATTATTTTCTAGATAATACAACTCATTCATGTACAGAACATATTTTGTAAAACAGAGAATGTAAATAAATAAATAGGAAAATAAGAATATCTTACCTTGTTTCTTCATTTTTTGAATTCTTATAGACCGAAGCTCCTGGAGTTTCTCGACCATTAAGGCAAGCTCCAGCTGGAAGTACCAGATTTCAAATTGCCAATTGGGAAAATTATCTTATTCAGGATAAAGAATATTATGATGATACTATTAACTCAAAAACGTCCACAGAATCATTAGTAGATTAAAGTATAAAGAAATTCGAATGACTACTCAATTCTTCATGAACTGATTGCAAGATAGCTCTCTCTAAAAAAACAAGAAAATAGGTGAATGATATCCCTGAAGATTGCTTGCACTAAGACAAGGATAGAGATCAGAGGGTTTCTAGAGTAATAAGAAAACTAGATAAAGGTCACAAGAATAAAAAGGCACGACTTAAAATGTTGCAACTAAACTTATACAAACAAAAAATCATTGGTTTGTATCAATGTTCAGTAGTATGCGGTATGCGCTTGCACACAACTAGTAAAAGACAGTTCTGAAACACCCTAGAGAAGAGAACTTTCACAGGACAGCATAGGCATGAAATTTTATTCCATGGTACCTCAGATTCTAGACGCTTTCTTTCCTCATTTGCTTTCTTTCTAGCAATCTGCTGCATGCTTTCCACCTGGTTTACAGGTACAAAAGTGAATACATTAGTTGTGAAGCAACAATGATGTCCTACTGCATTATATCTTTAATTGTGAAACAAATTTCACAAATACGAGAAAGCACCTTCCGCTTTGCAATGTCCTTGGCTATTTGCTTAGCCCTCCATTCATCAGCTTCCTGATCAATTCTATCATAATCTGCGCGCTCCTGTGAAACAACAAGACAAGAGATGCCATCACATTTCACATAGTTGGATTTTTGGCAGTTTGGAGGGAACGCATTCAGAAACGTATAGCGCCACACACACAAAAAAAAAAAAGGAGACAATGATGAGTGGCACCTTCTGAAAAAGCTCTGCGACATGCTTCCTCCTCCTCTGCCTCCACCGCTTATTTCTCTTATATTTCTGCAGCTTCTGAGTCAACCTAGCCATCGCTGATCTCTCCTCCCAAGGGCCACTTTTGCTAGTCACGGAAGAGATAGGCCCAAGAAGATGCTGAAGCTGATGACAAAGGTAATTGGCTGCATCGGTTGCCATCGACTCATGAGTGTCCTGACTAATCCCCATGGACCTAGCTAGCTCAACAAAACGGAGGGGCTTGTCCTCAACAAAACGGAGGGGCTTGTCCTCTGAAGAATCACCAGACCCTGGCAGCAATTCCGCCGAAGACGAAGCAGATTCTTGCATGGCGGCATCACCAGAATTTCTGGCCGCTGCAAGTTCCTCGAGCTCTTTTATCCTGACAGGTCAAATCCTTTCTTAAGAAATGGGCGCAAATAAGCAAATCACATGGTCATCAGTAGCTTTCAAGGGTTTTAGCAAATGGGAACTCACAGTGCAGTTGATAACTCGATGGTCTGTTGCAGCTTCCTCACGTGATCCCGCACATTGTCGCGCTGCCAAAAGGTAACCGCAGGCGAAGGCGGGGGCGGGGGCGGTTGCTGCCACTGCCATGGTTGAGGCTGCCGAGGAACGGGGGGCGGCACCCCAAAGGCATTCGGCGGCCGGAACATACCTGGCGGCTGCGCACGAGGAACACGAAGGCAGTCGTCAATCGCGGTCGCGGGGTGGCAAGCACGGCATCGCCCGAAAAACGGACGGCGGAACTGAAACTGGCGGAGAAGTCGTGCCTTACCGAGATTATTAAGTGACCCAGAGGAGATGCGGCGCGGGAATAGGACGCAGAGTCTGTAGAACCGCGGCGAAGGCGGCCGGCGAACGACGCCGCGGCGGAGGCGGCGGTGAGTGGTGGGCGGGCGCGGGATCGGCTGCGGCCAGTTCCAGTTGGAATTGGGACGGGAAGGGGGAAGTCGGGAAGAAGACGCGAGCAGCCGAGAAAGGGCTGGGGGGCTGGGTGCTCGTGCGGGCTCTTGGCCCGAACGCGTTCGTGGGCCGTCTCCCGCTTGGAACGGGCGAGAAGGGCCGAGGCCGAAAAGGAGAGATTCGCGGACGCGGACGCAGGCGACAGGCCTGTGGGCCTGCCCCTCTCTCCAGGCCGCGTCTCTTCTCTTTTTTTTGGCAAAAAATATTGCTGGGCCAAGTTACGCGCACAGTGTACAATTATGCCAATCTGAGGGGCTTTTCTGCAAGATTGACGGGTGATTGGGGCTCGGTGGGGCCCACGGACGTGGGACAACGTCGTGATGGATTTTTTTGTTTGGGCTGGATACCTCGATCCACGAAGCGCCCTGCATGCATGCCGCGTAGCCTCGCAGCCACTCCCGTGAACACACGTAGCAGGCCAAGCACGGGTTACAAGGTCCGTTTGCTTGACCTTATCAACGTACCGTTTCAGCAAAATAATAATATTTTTTTCTCATAACAGATATCAGCCATTTTTTAGCTAGCCAAATAGAGCCTTTGAGCTAAATGGGCGACGTGGCCTAGTACCAGTTGGCACTAGAACAGTCTTGACGAGTACTCGGAACCCGGCCACCCAGGAAAGCTTTTTTTGAAAAAAAAAGAGAGAGAATTCACTTTTAGCCCCCGTTGAAAGACAGGGATCTCTGAGAAACTTTATAGCAATTTTATATAAATCAATTTAATTTTATAAAAAACAGAAGAAAAAAAATCTCCATTCCAAAGGTAGCCTCAGATATTGGGCAAAATGTAACATAATCTTTGGACTTGATGTCTTACTAGACAAGCTTGTCTTGCTTTATGCAAGCCAGCAAGTCAATCCTTATCAGGCCAGGTGAGCCAAATTGGCTCGCCCATGATAGCAAAGTAAAAAGCCCAAAATTTTTGCTGGCACAGATTTTAATATAAAACTCGTTCTCCTACAAAATAAGGGCGCATTTGAGTTCTTTGTCGATGTTCACTTTGCCTAACTGAGCCAAGTTAGCAAGTGTTTGGTTCCTTTGGGGTGCGTTTGGTTCGAGGACGAAGTTGGATGGGATATGGTGATCCATGGATATTGGGATAAGGATGTCCATGATGCATGTAGAGGCTACATCATTATTCGTGCTTTCAAGATTTATCCTTGCTCGCTCATGAGAGCCAATTTGGCTCGCCTCAGCTGGCGAGGCTAACCTTGTAGAGGCTAAACTAATACTTGTTCCTTTCCATATCATAAATATTGATATAAGTGTTTGGTTCCTTGGCTCACCTCATGTATTAATATAAGATTGATCGGCATATTTTTATAATACATTTCACTACTGGAAACTCGAATACTTCTGTGGGTGATGAATTTTTCTGTGCGTTTTTCTCTATACACACAGAAAAAATCAATTTTTCTGCGCGTTTCCAAAATCCTGACAGAAATATTCAAAAACCCACAGAAAAATTGCGTGATTTTTCTGTGCGTGTCAATACACACAGAAAAATTGATATTATTATGTCGGTCTTTTCAAAACTCACAAAAAAACTATATACACGCACAGAAAAACTATATACACAAAAAAATGATCTGCGTTAATACAACCAGACACGGCCGCCCATCCCTATCCCAAACGCGCTGCCCGCACCCACCCGAGACCATGCCCGCACTCCCGTTGCTCCTAGGTCTCGCAGCGGCCACCCCCTCCTCTCTTCCACCGTCGTGGCGGCCACCCTCTCCTCCACCGGTGAGGCCACCACCCCCTCCTCCACTACAACTCCTCCCCTCCCTTCCCTCGGAAGACGGTGGTGGCTGCCCATGCAAGGTCGGATGGCGGCGCCTTCGCCCCCAGATCTTCCTGCCGCACCAAGGAGCTTCGCCGCCCGCCGCCCCTAGATCTGCCTCCCCCTCCTCTCTTCCACCGTCGCAGCGGCCACCACCGCCCCCAGATCTTGCGAGGGAGATCTTGTCGTCCTGGGGCCTGGGCTAGGGTTACCGTCCTCATTTCGCGCCTCTCCTTCCTCCTCTGGTTTGGTGCGCTCTCTCCTCTTCCTCCCCATCGAGCTCGCTTGACCTATACGGTCAACCTCCACCGACGGATTCATGTTGGTCCTCTAGTGCTCCGACAGTATATCTCACCTGCCCCCATCTCCTGCTCCTCTCTGTTGAATCGTTTGTGGATTTTGTTTGTCGTCCACTGATATTAGGGTTCATGTTCTTAGATACTTAGATCTGGGCGACATTTTTGTTGATCTACATGTTTACATTTGCTTCTGTCTTGTTTCGCCCTTAGATCTATGTGATGTGCACCTCTTATTTGTTGTACACATGTGTTGTCGCCTAGATTTTGTAACACCCCGGTGTTATGCCTGCATTTAGTCACTGCAAATCATACATATCATGCATCATCAAGCATCCTAATCATGCATGCCTAATCATGTAAATAACAATTGAAACACTGCTTCGAAATAATTGAAACATGTTGTGAAACCCGAATGTTGCATACCTTTGTTAGAATTGTTTTGCCCTGATTTTGCTTGCTAGGTTAGTGAAACATGTTTGGATACTATTGTAAATCATCTAGCAATGTTTAGTTCAATTTTTGGAGCAAAGTTTGTATTCAAATTAATTCAAAATTTGGCTTCAAAAATAAATTCCCAAAAATTAGGGTTTTGAGTTAAACTGGACTTTGACCTTACAATTCAAAATCTAGAAAGAATTTGGCTGTGGTCATAAAAGCAAAGTTGTAGAAAATTAAATTCTAATCAACTTTCATTTTTGGTACATTTTCAAAAGATGTTATTTTCTTGCTCAAAATAATATTTGAAAGATGGCATGTAAAAATTCCTTGAAAATATATTTGGAAAAGGACTTTTTCTCCTTCGCGGGCCGCCGCCTCACTTCTGGCCCACGGTCGAAGTCGGCCCAGCCAGACCTCCATGCCTTGCCTCGCCTCGGTCCAGTCAGCCAGCCAGCCACACATGCCATGCCCTTCTGATCATGGCAGAGCTTGCCCGCCGTGTGTGGCGGCCATGCGCTGCGTCGGCGCTTGCCAAGCAGTCGCATGCCAGCCTCACGTCCGCGCCCGCCCTTCTCTGCACTGCTGGCCATTTCGGCTCATTGCTCATTCCTCATTGCCTCTCCTCTCTCGCGAGCCGAGCGCGCCAACTCTGCCTCTCATGCCACCCCGCGCACCCACGGCGGAATTCACGCCGTGGCTCCTCCACCTCGGCCCGGCAAGCAAGCAGCGCCGCCAGCCCGCCTCGCTCTCCTTCAAGTAGTGCTCGCGTTTTGCTGTTGACCGCCGAGCCAGTGTGGCCTCCTCAAGCCCCCACCATCGACGGGCATGGCGCCATTGCCGCTTCGGCCACCATGGAAGTCACCTTCCTTTTCTTCTCTAGCCCCGCTTAGCTACCCTACCGCATTCACCATCTTCTCGCACATCGCATGATGCCCGCTTAGCTCGCCTTGTCTCGGTTGGAGATGGCCACGTCCTGGCTAAATGGCCGAGCAGCCAGCACAATACAGCCTTGAAGGCGTCAGGCGTGTCTCTGCCTCACCAAATAAAGGGCCGAGTGGTGGTGGGCGACGCATCTGGGGGCCGTCTTCCCCCTCCTTTGCGCTCACAGCCTTGAAAAGTGGCCGTGGTCGATGAAATCAAATGAAATGGCCCATGAGTGATTGAATGAATTGTTTTTCAATTTATTCTTTATTATTTGAAAATAGAAATGGTTTGAAAAATGTTTGGGTACTAAAATTTGCTCCAAATCTGTTGAAATAAATTTATCTAGGTTCCTTATCATCAGATCTACTTGGGAAAATTATTACATGTCATTTTTGAGATACTTTGCTGTAGAATTTTATTTAATCATGTATATTGATGATAACTTGAAAAATATGTAGAAAAATCTATAGGCTTCAGAGAAATATGATTTCTAAGTTTGTTAATCTTCTTATGTCATGTACTTCCTAGGAAAAATATGTTTCATGCATGTGCTGTGGGAAAATTTTGAGGTGTAGTTCAATTACCTTTAATGGCTGATTTTTGTTATTTTAGTTAGAGAGCAAACTTTGTATAAAACATGCATGTGATAATTTTTGTACAGTCATTGTATGCTATGAAGAACCTAGGAAAAATACTAACTCTATTGTTTGACACTTTTCACAGTTCAAAGTATTTTTATATTCATAATCCTGCCATGCCTTGTCATTTTTGTGTAGACTATTTTACTTATCCAAACGCCATGAAAATTTTATGGTAGTCTACTTAGAGTAGTACTATACTACTATAATTTTCTTAGATTTTTATAAGCACCAGAAATATAGGTTGCTGTTGTAGCCCTAGTTTAAAATGAAATAAAATAATCCTCTTTAATGCAAGTTAGTTAATAATGTTAGCTTTGGTGTACCTTTGAAGCATTTAATAAGATGTGTTGACTTAACATATTAGTAGTAGAAGAGAATGCAGTAGATGACATGTGCTTGTAGTATATTTTCTTGGATGATGTTGACTACCTTGCATTCAAACATATCCATGGTATTCATCTCATCCGATGCACCGATTGCATAAGCATTTATGCACATTGCATCATACAGGATCGCAAACCGAGAACCCAGTCGTCATACCCGAAGAGCCCGAGGAGCAGTTCGAGGTGCAGCCGCAGGAAGTGCCAGAAGCCGACGAGGAGGACG